AACGACTTTATTCAACAATTCGTCTCCTCCACGTCACCCTGGTGCTGCGTGACGTATCAGCTGTTTACGTCCAGCTGATATTCTCCAAAATGGCACCAGGGTGACGTGGAGGAGACGAATTGTTGAATAAAGTCGTTAATTTTGTAATCTTTGCGTACAAAATTTATTCTCGTAGCTTCGTAAAATTACGGTTGAACCCCTGATGTCACATGGATTATTTTACTGATCTCCTTGCTACGTTTCTGGACCTTGATCGTGGTAGTTACCTTGCTGTCTATGGGAGGGTCAGAAAGCTCTCGTATTTCATCAGAAATATCTTAATTTGTGTTCAGAAAGATGAGGTCTTACGGGTTTAGAACGACATGAGGGTAAGTAATTAATAACAGAATTTTCATTTTTGGGTGAACTAACCCTTTAAGGATATGATCCAAACGGGGTTATCCAATAGTACACCTTAAAATCAGTGTTGATTCCTATTTAGTTCATTAATACTTGTTCTTGGTCTTATTATACGTTTTGTTGACACTAATAGCAGTCACCTGTGCTTCTGACTAGAGAAGCTGCCAATCGTGTGCCTCCGGCTGTCCTTCTCGATAAATGTTACAGCTGTTCATAAATGATATAAATAAATTCCAGACCCACTTTATATGAAGTGTTTTTAACTACTAGGCTATGTTCTTAGATTTGAATTAAGCATTTGATACAGTGCACTTATATTCATGGTGTTTACATTGTACTTATATTTAAAAATACCTTCCTGTAGTTGTATCTGTAATATAACATTTTGTTACATTTCATAATTACACTGTTGATCCAAACCCTACACCTTAGCCCACCCGGCTTAAACCTAATCTAAACCTAACCATACCACAAAACCTGTCCTTAACTTTAACCATACCCACCGCAAAAGCAGCAAACGTATTTTGTAATTCAACATGAACACACAGTACCAAACAATTCATTATATCTAAGGACACCTAATATAAAGTGGGGGCTAAATTCCTATTACCACAATTCAGGTTTAGAAAAAAAAAGAACTTTGCACAGAAGTATACCACTCACGAGAATTAGGCACAGAATATGCATTTAAACAAGATACAAAACCAAGTACAATTTAATATGCAATCAAAAATCCACAAAGTGAATTTATTAAACTCAAGCAATAACAAAGTCAACAAATAGACTCTGCAAAGCTGCAATACAAACTTTTAAACTCTTTTATTAATTCTAGTTAAAACAACAACATGCATTGAAACACTCTAGCAAATTGCATCACGCTCATTGAATTGAGCGCTCAGCGTTCACTAGGTAGTGTGCATGTGACGAACTTGTCCATCTGTATTCACCGCCAGTGTAGTACACTTTGAAAGGCTTGCATGCTCAACTGTGAACTTGACCATCAGTCTCCAAGTCCTGGTCAAAAAAAACCTCCTTAAAAATATGTTTCAACAATCCACTGCTAACTGGCTCCATTCTGTATTAGAACACCCAATACATTTCTGACGGTTCAAATCAAGTTCAACCCATCTTCCTGCTTGAG